AGTAAACAGTTAGAGATTTAGACCATTATTATTGTCTCTATAATATAATATTAATAGTTTTCAAATTCATGTCATCGGGAATTTTTACTTTAGATTTATCGCTTCAAAAACATTGGGGGCCATTTATATCAAAATCTCACAACCCACCAGGGAGGATTTTGATGGTGAGAGATTTCAAACTCTCGTAGATCAACTTTCGCAAGTTACATAGGCAAGGAGGAGAAACGAAAGGGCATGGTAATGTTGAAAGAATATAATAATTAATATCCTTTTATTCTTCCTATTTTATAATTTATATGAACTTGTAACGATTTATCTATTTAATGGAGGCACGCCTCATAGAAATTTGTCATTTGGGACCGAGGGCCCCGCTGTTACCCATGAAGTCGTCCTACAAAACTAAACGATGCTTGTATAAATATATAACATTAAAGACCAGGCGCTTTAATATCACTTAATCTATATACTATATTTGTTGGGAAAAAAGCGATAATAAGTGATAATTTTTTTTAAATTTAACAGATTATAATCTTTCAAACATGGAAAAAAAAGTTTTTTTTTTTATATATGAAACAAGAATTTAGTTAAAGTGGGTGATATTGGTATAGTTAACATTTATAACTGTTCAAATGGCAAATAGTAATTTTCAGAGTTGTTAAAGGATCTAAAACAAGTATCTAGATCTTGTATCTAGATATAAAAATGTGGTATTTGTAGTATCTTGTTCAAAATATCAATAAGATACAAGATAAAAGATACTTGTCTCTTTTACTAAATTAGAGTATCTTTAATACAAGATACTTTTAAATTATCATTACCAATTAAATTAGAATAGTTTATAAAATACAATTTTTATTATTTATATGTGAAGAACATAGTATTACACATATAATAATGAATATTTGCAATAATTAAAAATATTTATTGATGAATTAATTATAATAACCAGGGATTTTAATATTAATTTTTGTCCATTAATAGCTTAAACAGGGAAGGGAGAGTAGTATATTTAATGGGAGTTGAAAATGTGCAAATAAGAAAAAAAATTAAATCAAATGATTTATTAGAATTTCTAGGTTATTTTTTGTGTTGTTTTAAATATAGCTTATATTCGGAGTATATGGCTAAATGGAATCTCTAAAAAAAATAATACTAGTTTTATTTTTATTCATTATCTTTAATAAGTATTTATCATTACTTTGTTTGTGATATTTATGTATTTTTTAAATTAGTTTTATTTTCTAGTATGATTTATTAAATCTTGCATTTGTAATATCATATATATATAAATATCATTTAAATCTCATTTCAAATTTTTTTAATATATTTCCTGCAAAATCATTAATTTTATATAAAAAATATGAAAATAATGTACAACATTATATTATTTAATTATTAAATATATAACAATTTTCTTTAATGAATTTTAAATTGATTAAATTTTGTAGATAAATACTGTAATATAATTTTACTTATATCATAAATAAATAAAAGTAACTAATAAAGTTAAATTCTACCTTATTATAATTATTTTATTAAGAGCCTTTTAAAATTATCTAATATTATATACCAATTGTAGCTTAAATATTTCCTCTAATAAGAACTTGCTAAAATAATTAAATATAAAATATATTAGGGATGTGCCGATATTTTTTATCGAACCTATATTTCACCCATTTTAAAATATCAATTATCGGTCAATATTATAAAATTTGATCCGATATAAAAAAGGCTTCTTTAACAAAAATAAAATGTTATAAAATTTAAAAAAATAGTTATATCTAAAATCATTTATTTTTATAAATAAAATCGAAATCCATTTTTATGTATATTTTTTTAATAATAATATTTAATTAATAAACATTCTACCATATTGTTATTTTTTTGCGCATTCTGTTTATAAAAGTGTGCGATAATCTCTTCAGAATCTGTTTTTAGTGAAGCTGGTGATATTGACAGTTACTATCGCCGCAAGCTGGCCTCTGATAAATTGGAAATATTGGTATTACTTAAAAGAAATCTTCGCTATATTAATGTTAAATATTATTTTAAATATTTATTTCAAATTTCATAATATAATTGTTTATTAATTAATATGTATATAGATTAATGTTATTACTTGTTATATAAAAGTGATTTAACAATAAAAATATTTTATATACTTTTAATTGCAATTGAATTGAATATAAACTATAGGTAATCATTATAATATATTTAAATGACATAAGTTATTATATAGTTAAATTATAGATGTTGTACTAATAAAAAGTATATTAAAAATTAAAACCGGTATCTTTACAGAATACAAAATTAGATATGATATCGGATCGGTACGGCCGATATCAATTGACTATCGGATCGGATCGACCTCCAAAAAGTGGTATCGGTACACCTCTAAAAATTATATATCCAAAATGATTTTAATTTGATAATCAACCATCTTCTATAAAAAAATTTAATAACAATTATCTAAGAGGGACTTAAGTATAGGTATTATTATGTTAATAATTATAAAATAAAAATGTATAATATACTTTAATATATTTAACAAAGTTTGTAGAGGAGTTTGTTGAACCTTTAATAACTTTTTTACTTGTGCAATTTTGACATTCGGCTTGTACCTTGTCCTTTTTAACATGAATTACTTTATAAAATTTTCCATCTAGAATTTTAAGATTCGGATTTGATTCTGGAGAACCTATCTCCATAATTTCATCTTCACTACTATAAATGTTAAACATTCTACAAATTAAAAAATATTACATATAAAATATAACCTTTACTTATTTAGTTTTGGTGTTGTTATTTTTAATCTGTCTATCTTTGTGATCTGTAAAATTTCCAACTAATTTTGGTTATCAATATATTTAAAATATAGAAGGAAAAAATAAAGAAAATAATACAAGATTTCACGAAGAAAATAAAGTTAGATTGTGTGATATGTAAATGTTTTAAACATGAATATTAAAAAGAATCTGTATCTTTTTAAAGAAAATGAAAAAGATACAAGATTCTTTTCAAAATAAAGGATCTTAGATACAGATACTAGTATCTTATTAAAAATGTCAATAAGATGCTGAGTACAAGATACAAAAGGATCTTGTATCTTGTATCTTAGATACAAGTATTCACGGTACTGCCCAACTCTGCAAAGTTATACCAAACTTTGGCAAACCACTAATTCTGAAGCTTAAGCCAAAATGCTTAATTACGATACATGTAGGTAAGTGCCTTTATTTTTCCCCCCTTTTACTCAGAATAAAGTAATTTTTCTCTGAATTCCTAAAAGAAAATTTTTCTAAGTAAAAATTTTAGAATTTCTTAGAAAATATAATAAATCGCTCAGAAATTTTTAATTATTTATTTTTAAGTGCTTAAGCATGTTATTTGAGTTTTTTAATCATTAACTCCATGTCTTCTAGTATATGTCACGAAGGGGTAGGGTTAAACATTTATTCCCAAAAAATATCTATACAAGGGGGTATCAAATGGAAGCCAAGAAAAATGATTTTGAGTACTATTATAATTACCCATCAATCTATTTAGACCCTTGGGTCGAGGGTTTGTAAACGTTTAAATTTCTTCTACAATAAATTTTCGTCAAGGACATTTTTTTTGAATGCTTCTTATTCCTCTAGATTCTCTGATCTAGCACATTGATAAGGGGGAATGTAGAGGCGATGTAAAAACCTACCTTAAAATAAATCTCCATAAGAGTATTAAATGAATGCTAATGTTTGGGCATGGTAATGCGCCGCTTGCGATAACGACTTTGCGTAAATATATTCGCGATAGAAAATTCGCCATAAAGGGCTCGACCAACAAAGTATCGCTATAACGGGTTCGCGATTAAAGTTTCATTAAATTTGTATTCGCTATAAAGTATTTTTACGATTTATGATTTCGCGGGAAAAAGTTTGCGAAAATGAATTCGCGATATTGCCGTCGTTATAAATGTTTCGCGGAAAAAAAAAATTTGCGGAATTGGTTATGATGATAATTATCCTCTATCTAGGAATTCCTTCGCGATACAAGTTTTACGAAAAAAATGTTTCACTGAATTGACATTAGTTCATCTGTCAAATCTGACATGTCGGACTAATCGAAATTTAATAAATCAAGTGTGGCAACAAGAATTTCCTTGAATTTATATTTTAATTTAGCACTATATCTATTTATAATGTTCTACTTCAGTTTTTGAATATTTAATAATATTCTTTTTTCCCTATATCTTTTGTCACTAGTAATAATAATCAAAGACTTGACAGTTGGCATTGACTTATGCATATAAATCATCTAATTTTATATCATTTCACATTTTAAAGATTGTTTTGTAAATATCTTCCTTTTCTTCATCTATTAATAACTTAAGGCTTTTGAAATAATGGGCAGTAACAACCCCCTTGGTTATTGAGAATAAATTTTAAAGTTTAAGTAAAAAATCTTGACCTAATCATAAAAAGAAAAGAACTAGAAGCGTGACACCAGATGTTGTTTATAAAATGCAGAATATTTTTTGTTTTCAAAATTTTTTCTTTTTTAAAAAAGAACTAAGTTAAATTAGAAAATATGTATTATAATTATAAAATTGCAAATTTGTATTTATAAAAAAAAAAACTAAAATTTCCGTGATTCACGGGAAATTTATGTTCACGCCCAGGAAAAATTTTGGGAAGGCCCGTCATGCCTAATAATTTAAAATTTATTCACACTCACACCGTGACACGATGGGTCATGCGTAATTTCACAGCCCGTGCCCACCTCTAGTTATGATAATGTTATTAAATAAAGAGCCACCTTACATGGCTCTAAATTATGTGGACTGATGAGAATTATATCATTTGCTTTATATAATATAGTTTGTTGGGGCATCCTAATATACAAACATTTAAATAAAAACTGAGATAATTATCTTGGTTATTTATAAATTTCATATTTTAATGATATGACATATTATATTAAATAAAAATGATAATATAATAATACTCATTATATTTATTTATAATATAAATATATGAAATACATTTAATATTTATATAACAATTACTTATATTTACAACATTATTAACAAAGCATCAGCTTTTTTGTAATTCAATTTGAAATTTACATATCGGTAGGTTTTCGATTTCTGCTGTGACTATGCAATTAATACCCAATTGACTGAGTGCTCCTCTTAATAGGCCACATGGTAAACTTAGAAACTAAAAAAATGTATAAAATATTATCTTTAAAACTACTTTAACACACTCTTCAGTAAACTTCTTTGTTTTGGATACCTTGCTAAAAAACATAAAATCATTATCTTGAATCACATAAATTCCCTTGTTTTAGTTATATTAAAAACATTATAAATAAGCTATTTTTACTTGATGATTTGTTTTAAGATTATCAACTTGTTTGTGATAAATCTGGGTCCAAAATTCTTTGCAGATAAATTTAATTATATCTAGCTCATTTTTAAATTTAGGTGTATCTTTAGTAATCCTTTAATAATATGTGAATTTATTACAAATCAAAAATATAAACCTTTCAACTATAGATTGACCTGTTTTGAAGCCAATAAACTCAAGTTTATCTAGATAATCCTTAATTAAGCATTTATACAATTGTATAAACTATATACTTTGTTTTCATTTTTTTGAATGAAATAGTCAATCATATTGCCATGAAATAGATTAAATACTACATCCATCGGTGCATTCATATTAAGGAGTGTAACTAAAATGAGAATTGACAGGTAAACTGCGAATGGACAGGTAAACTGAGAATAGACAGATATAAATTAAATTTATTTATGGCATATTAATTTATTTTAAAAATATAAATAATGTATTTGTATTATGTAAACATTGGCGTACGCAGCGGAAGGGGGGAGACAGGGGGACAAATCCCCCCCCCCTCCCAAAGCCAAAATGCAGATGCCGGACATATTTTTCAAAAATATTATTTTTTATATTTTATTATATTTATTCATATCTATTTCTTTTTAAATTTTTATATTATTACCTTTTTCATTTACTAATTTACTTTGTCAATTAATTTCATTTTCAGGTTTTCCTTGAGGCGTAATATCTATCTATTATTTTTAAATTTCCCGGTATTATAATTTTCAAATTTCTAGTCATGGATATTAGACTTTTTTTAAAAAACGCTGAAGGTGAAAATCATGCCAAAAAGCAAAAAAGTTTAGTATAATAATTTAATAATATTTTAATTTAAAAATATTTTTAGCAATTTAACTAATAATGAAAGAATTGTTGGAAAAATAATAGATAGTCAGCATATAGAGCCATCTAAAGGTCAGTTATTCTAAAAATACATTTGGGCAGTTTTATAATAACTTAGCTGGTATTATTTAATAAATAATTTTACATTTTTTGTACTTTTGGAGGTTTTTTTAAACACCTACTTTGAAAATGAAATGTTAATTTAATTATGTAATAATAAAATAACTGAATTTTTTGAGATTCATCATAAGATTATCTAAATATATAAAATAGAATATGGAAGAAAGAGTAGTTCATAAATTTAAAATATGTATAGAACAGATATGTTACAAAAAATTAAACACCCATAATAAATTTAAAAAAATCTTAAATATATATCCGTCAGATGGCGTAATAGATATTTTAAAGCAACGCCAATACCAAATAAATATTCTTGCTACCCGCAAATTTTTTAATAAAAAATAATCAAACTTGAATTTTCAGTCCTTTCCATCCAAACTATTGTCGAATCTAACTTGCCCCTCGCCACATCATTGTGTAAATCAGCTTCCCTTGACTCTCTAGGCGATAACGACCGTAGTAACAGTGCTGAAGAAGGCGGAGAAGTCATACGTTTGCTGCAAGCCTTAAAGGATAGGCGGAAAAAAAACGGCGCGAAGACTAAAAACGAATAAAAAAAGGAAGAAAAATGGCAAGAGAATCAGGATCAAACCCAAGCGACGTTTTAAGAATATGGAGAGCTTCAGAGGCAGAGATAGAAAGAATCGACTTAAATAGCGTTACGAGAAGGTTCTGGCACTAGCCAAAAAGAGAAAGTCCCAAATCAATCAAAAAGGAGGTTGGCATATTTCTATATTATTAATAAAAATTTATCAATGCTAATTTTTAGAAATTTTAATTAATAATATTACTCTGCCTCAATTAAAAACAACTAACTTAATTTTTTTTCTTGGATCATTATTTAAAAATAAATATATATAAAGGTGTTAATTTTTTTAAATGAATTTTTAACACATAATATACAACCTTTTCATATATAAAAGATCTTAAAATATTTTTCTTACTCCCAATTTCAGAACGATGACAAAATTATAAAGTGGAACTTGATTCAATAAAAAATTGACTCGCATGAAATTTAATAGTATAATATTCTAGCAAATCTATACTTAGTTTATAAAATTGCAATCAACCCAAATTGCTAATGAGAACCTTCTTTTTCCTTTTTTAAATTCTTGTTTTTTCCCGTCTTATGCTTTTCTTCCGTCTTAATATGGGTTTTCCCATCTTGTATGGATTTTCCGGTCTTGTATGTTTTCCCGTCTTAAGTGTTTTTTTTATAATATTATCGTTTTTATATATATTATTTTAATATATTTTTTTTAAATAAGTAAAAGTTTTAAAATCATTTTCTATTTTAATATTATTTAAATGCATAAATAAAATTTCCTTATTTGTTCATTTAACTGGTCTCTAATGACATCGTTGAAAGGCTTTTGATGAGTTAATGATGTTTTCAAAGAAAAATGTAAGTGGAATAATGAAGAAAGCTATAAAATCGTCGTTCGTATACAAAAGCAGATGACAGATAAAATATTAACAGATGTCGCATAACATAGCATCAGTCACTTTTCTAAAGTACTCTCTTTTCCGTTAGTAAAATTCGGGTTATTTTAACCATAAGTGACATAACTAAATTTTAAGACTTATAAAAACTTTTAATTTCTAAATATCTGGTGGTTATTTTTTTACTTAAACACGTCCCACTTTTTTTCCTGAAAATTCTAATATGCCAAAGGAAAATATATATTTTTCATTTTTTTTATATAAATAAAGGAGTGTACAATAATTTTAAACGACCTTTCTATGATTCAAACCGTTATTGTTGCATATTGTATATCGTAATTGTGGTAAAAATGTAAAGTTATAAGTTGCAGGACTCGAATTTTTAATAAAATAAAAAGTGTTTTTTCCGTAAAGCAAAACTATATATACCTGAAATTTCCATTGTACATTCAAGTTATAGAATTAACCTAAAACTACGAAAATATAAAAAAATTATACGGCTAATAATCTTAAAAATAAAATTAAATATTTATATACTATGTTAAGTTAATGCATAACATCTATCTTCAATCTGACTGGTTTGGTCCTTTGTTTCGTTGGGCATCACTCTTAACTTATCTCTATCATAAAAAAGAATATTATCCTTTAGTTTTGAACCTTATAAACCGATCAAATGTATTCTTCAACTTTTTCTAGTTATGTTATGTATAAACATTTTTCAAATTTTATTAAAACTTATAGCTAGACATAAAATGAACTGTTATGTTATTGTATTCTAATTTTTAACCTTATTTTTATAACTTTATTTTTTGTATTTCGTGACCTTACTTTTTATATTTTGCAATATTTTATTTTTGTTTTTCGTTTTTTAAATAATGTATTCTAATTTTGATTTGTAAAATATATATATATACGAAGTGTAAAATGGAAAAGAGATATAATAAAGTTAATAATAAAAAGATACATTTTTACATATTGGCATGTTTATCATGATTCTCTTCATGAACTAACGTTTATAAAACAGTTGAATATTAAACCTGTTCACGTACCTTTTTAGATGGGTTAAAATTATTTTTAGGCTATTTGGTTTAAGATTCACTAAATAATAACGGTTAAAACTGGTTTTAAGTTCATTTTACCAATATTTTTATGAATGCAGTTGCCTATTCTTTTAAAAGTTTATTCTCTGTGTGACCATTATCGACTATGTTTATCTTTTAGTCCATATTGTCTCTTTAATTATTGGTTAGAACCCATCAACCTTAACATTAACTAATTATATTTTATCGAAAACAAATTCGATGACAGCGGCGAGTTGATAACGAAATCAAGGCATTTGGTCACGAACAGGGTTGCCCCAGGTCAAAATTTTCAAATTGCGGGAGAAATTCAGTATTTTGCGGGAGAAATATGAAAATTGCGGTAGAAATATAAAAATTGCTAAAAAAAAATTTGTGGGTCAATTGACTTAATTATCCGCCTATTATTTTTAATAATTAGTTTTTATAAATGCAAAGTCGGTAAATATTTTTTCAAAATAAAATAACATCTTTGATTTATTAAAATATATAAATTTATAAAAAAAAAAAAAGTATCTTTTTTAAATATAAAAGAATGTAAACAAAGATAAAATTCTACAAAAACAAAACAAACGATTTTAATTTTACAATGTAAAAAAAATATATTTTATGCGAATATCTCGCAAGACCGCAATTGAAAATCTACCGTGTGTCTGTATAACATTGGGATAGGCGCTTAATTATCCCGTATCAAGTTTAAATACATAATAAGATAATATTGTACTCATTTCAATGATATTTAATTTATTTATTATAGTTCAATCACATTATCATAATCCGAGCAGAGGAGTGTATCTACATTCATTGCAAAACAAAAATATTCTCCATAAATAAGAAATAATACATATGCAACTACAGTTGCGGCAATTGTAATCAATTATCTTGTAGTACAACATTTACTGAGCTACTTATCATTACAATGTAGGTAGAATCTTTCCCCATAAAATTTAACGACTCCAAAATAAATGCAAACTTTACTTGTAGAACAAAAATGAGCAAGGATATCATCAATGTTTTAGAACCTGAATCCAGGAGATCAATTCTTGACGATTTAAAATATGGGCATACATATGCAATTCTAACAGATGCATCTAATAAAGGAATTTTAAAATATTCCCCTTGATCCTCCGCTATTTCAGCAAAATTAAAGAATTTTAATTAAACTATTAAGATTTTTCCCCTCAAATAGTGAAATATTCAAAGACATAGCTTACCATATAGTAAATATAGCAGATTTGGGATTATCAATAAATTGCATGTCAGATTTCTGATCTGATAATGCTTCGGGGAATATGGATAAATCCAGAGTGTATTTACAGAATTGAGTCAGCACAATGTTGGTTGCGATTTGTTCCTAATACCCGCCATCGATAGAATTATAAAATTTTATAAACCTTTAAAAAAATATTTCTTAAATATAGATTATAAAAGCTGTAATTTTTTTTCAATAATGAATGGCAGAGGTATATTTAGGAATGATTTCACATGTAGGAAATCTACTACATGCTGTTAATGTGTGCAGTTGCAATCAGGAGAATCTTAACAATAATTCACAAAATTATGCAGCAGATGTGTTCATCTTTACAGTTGAAAATTGACAATAAATTTTATTGACGCCATTGCTAAAACTATTTTAAAATGTTCAAATATTTTAAAAATACCGATAGACATTGATGTCTTGTTTGAGGAGCTTGTAATGCTCTCTATTTTTGATTTACAATGTAAAAAATATATTTATTTTACGCGAATGTATAAATAAGATTTTATAAAATATAAAAAAAATATGGAAAATTAAATAATTATAATGTTAATTATATTTTATTTGAGATTTAAATAATGGAACATAACGTTTACCGTCGTT